TCTTTGATGTCGGAGTGGTATCTGGTAAGTTCCTGTGGCTACCCAATGGCCACAGGGACTCTCTGTAGACGCCAGCCACTAGCTCCCTTGGCCTTCAGTCTCATTAGTGGTAACTTCGCTTGCTTCTCTTCCCTAAAATAGGACCCCAGCCGCGAGAGAGTTCTGGAATGGACTCAGTGTACCCCTTCTGTTTGGTCAGATTTCAAACTCTGGAGTAGAGAACAGGGAACTTCAGGACTGAGCCTCATTCCCATTGAAAGCTTGAGGTTGGGATGGGAGGAGGAATGAAGAAGCTGAAGAGGCTTGGCCTGGCAGCCAGGGTTCTGTGGTGCCTGCAGGGTGGCATGGTTAGAGGGAGAGCCAGGCTGGCTCCTTGTGAGGCAATAGAACGAGAAGGTGGTGTCTGTCTGGTGGGTTTAAAGAGAATGCAGGCTAGCCCTGTGTCTAGGACAGCTGCATGGAATTGTGGGGCCAAAGCGCCCTTCTCCCCTCCCAATTGTCATGGCCACCCTGCCTCGTTTCCTCCCTGGAGACAGCCTAGAGTGGTGGGAACATCTTTATTCTCACTGCATGGAGCTGTGTGGTGGTGTGTGTTTGTCTACCCCACCAACAGCCCTGGAACTGCCAGCTTCTCACCTATCCATAAAATCCCCAGACTTGGGGGTGTGGCTCAGTGGTAGTGGGCTTGCCTAGCATGCACAATGCCCTGAGTTCCAACCCCAGCATCAGTAAAAGAGCTGGTAGTGTGGCTCAAATGGTAGAGCTCCTGCCTAGCAAGTATAAGGCCCTGAGTTCAAATCCCAGCACCGAAATAAATAAGTAAAATTCTCAGACCCAGGAACTTGAAAACAGAATCCACACGCACAGTTGAGGCTGCTCGATAATCCAGGTCTAAAGTAAATTTCTTCAGACCTCTCCAGGTGGTAAGGCAAACAGTGCTACCGCCTTCTGCCAAGTCCATCCCAGAGCTGTCAGTACAACCAGAAAGTGCTGTTGCTAGAAGAGGCTGAACCACTGCTTACCTGGTGTCTGCCAGGTGGGGCTCAGGGCTATGTTCTCTGCAGCTAGGAAAAAAAAATTGTGATTTGAGACTTTCAGGGATGGAGCTTGTACCCAGCAAGCCATATCAGAAGTATGGGCTGCAAGTGCCCCCAACCCTGCTCTGCCCTCTCCCAGCACGCACAGGCTGCCTCAAAGAGGCAGAGAGAGAAACTGCCCATTCGGAAGAAGGTCTGGGCTCCTGCAGGAAGTCTTGGCTCAGGGCAGAGTGGGGTGGGATGTGTCTGGAAGCTGGCCCTGTAGCCAGGCCAAGAGATGAGTTGTTGTGGGCTAGAGGCTCATCCTGGCCTGCCTCAGGGGCTGGTTCCTGATCTTTTGCTGCCCCTCCTAACCCCACAAAGACGTGTGTGCGCTTGCAGTGTGACTGGTGTGGATTGAGATGTGCTGGTGGAGTAGAATACAGGCAAGATTCCCAAGACTTTGTACACACACAACAAAGGAAACTATTTCATTAGTGATTTTGTATATTGATTACATATTGAGAAATAATATATTAGGTGAAATAAAATATACTTAAAATTAGTTTTCAGACATTTTTTTTGACTGTACTAGGGCTTGAACTCAGGGCCTCATGATTGCTAGGCAAGCACTTTACCACCTGAGCCACTCTACCAGCTCAATTTTAAACTTTTAAAAAAAATGTGTCTGTTAGAAAATTTAAGATTTCAAATGCAGCTGAAATTGTATTTCTATATGCCATCTCTGGGTGATGGATTTGGGGTATGTGAAAGGGTTTAGGGCTAATGACTGAATGGTCTGGGTAGTCTAGGGACCCCCGCCACCTCTAGACACCTCTGAACAGGGTTGTCAAACTGGGATCCCAAATTTAAATCTTGGGGATTTGGGAGTGAGATTTTTAGTTTTCTGTTTTTGATTCAATTATCTTTCAAAAAGAAATCTTCAAGCCTGGCATTGGCTCGAGTCTGTAATCCCAGCTACTCAGGTGGCTGAGATTAGGAGGATCATGGTTCCAGACCAGAAAAAAAAGTTCTCAAGACCCTATCTCAACAGAAAAAGCTGAGCATGGTGCTGCACACCTGTCATCCCAGCTGCCATAAATAGGATTGGTAAATAGGAGTGTCATGATCCAGGCAGATTGGGCAAAAAGTGAGGTCGCTTCTCAAAAATAACCAGAGCAAAAAAGGGCTCAAGCAATAAGGCACCTGCCTAGCAAGTGTAAACTCTAGTACTGCCACCAATAAAAAAATAAAACTTCCATAAACTCTTGTGCAGAAAAAAAATTTTACATAATTTTTTGGCAGTACCGAGAGTTTTGAATTCAAGGCCTCATGCTTGCTAGGCAGGCACTCTACCACTCGAGTCACTCCATCAGCTCTTTTTTGTGGTGGGTATTTTCAAGATAAGGTCTCATGAACTATTTGCATGGGCTGACTCTGAACTGCGATCCTCCTGATCTCTGCCTCCTGAGTAGCTAGGATTACAGCGCCCTTCTGACATAATTTTTTATAAGAAAGCATTTTCATAGTGTAAGAGTTTGTTGTTGATCTTTTCTTTCTTTTTATTTTATTTGTTTGTTTATTTTGTGGAACAGTGTCTTGCTATGTAGTCCAGACAGGTCTCAAATTTAAGACCCTTGTACTTCAGCCTCCTAAGACTGGATTTATGTACCACCACGCCTGGCTAAACGCTGAAGGTTAAAGTCAGTGTTTTCACACTGCAATCCTGACATATTCCTAGGAAATCAGATATTTTCCTCTCTCCCTTTAAGCAGAGTTTATACACTTTTTTTTTTTGGTGGGATAAAGCAAAGATTTATTAGGATGCCATTGAAAGGGCAGGCAGCTATGCAAAGGGGCATAGCAAGCCTCACTTTTCAAACTTGAGAAATAATGTTTGGGGCCTTCCCCTTTGTGAATGGGACTGTGGTGATCCAGGAGCTCTGTTCCCCATCCTTCCACACTCCCACTACCTCCCCAGTGCTTCAATTTCCAGCAGAATCCCAGTCCTTTCCCCTCATCTGCGCAGCCAGTACTATCGCTGGGAGAAGCCCTTAGGGCTACAGGGCACCAGGAATGGATGCCCTTTTCCACTGACATTGCGTGACCCTTCCCTGGCATTCCAGAGACCAGGAGTCCTCTTACCTTCTCTCACGTTTAATGCAAACTCTGGTCTGGGGTGTATGAAGGAAAGGAACTGGGGACAGGGTGAGACAGGCTTTGACTTAAAAGGTAGCTCCCCCATCAATATCCTGTCACTCCCAAGGGACCATTCCAGGCCCACTGGGGCCTGATGAGACCTTTAGAGGCCCTAAAAATTGACAAGATTATGGTTAACCACCAGCCCCATGGCATACATGGTAGAACATAAAGCGATATTCATCTATAAAATAAGAAAAACAAGTTCAGAAAAGCTCTACTTTTTCACATTATGTCTATCGCAAGGTACTTTTTGGTTTTGCTGGCCTTCCTTCCTTCCTTCCTTCCTATTCCCTCCCTTCTCTTTCCCTCCTCCTTCCCCTCTCTCTCTTTCTTCTGCTGAGGATGGAAGCCAGAGATCTCCTGGATGCTAGGCAAGCGCTCTATGACTGAGCAATATCCTCAGCCCTGTGATGTGCTTTTTGAAATAGCAAGATTGTGTGTGTGTGTGTGAAGCTTTTTGGATATCCAGCAATATCCTCCTCACACTTCACACCCTGTCTCTTCGCACCCTACGGGAAACATCACAGTTGGAGGGACCATTGGGCAAGAACTGGAATGGTGGAGGGGTCCATCTGGAGGGGAAGAAAGGAAGAAGTGATCTCCACCCCTTCCCATTGACCTGGAAACCACCCTCCCACTTTTGCCTCCCTTCTGGATGTTGTCTGTTCTCCTGGAGCCTGTTGAAAATGAAGCAGGGGACTGGGTGACAGAGGGCTTGTTCAATCCCCAACACCACATTAAAAACAAAAAGAAATGAAGATGGAGCCGCTGGACAGTCAGCTGTTTGGAATCCCTCACTGCTTCAGTTTACTCACTCACCCACTTACAAGAAGCTTGGGCAGATCTCTTTGACAGCTCCTCTCTTTACCTGGCCCCTATCCCCTGTCCTCTCCCTTACTGCCTAGCCCAGAGGCTGCCCACTCTAGAGAAGACCTGTGTCCTGCACCTTGAGCCACCTGGTCCGTTCTCCGCCAGTGAGAGCAGATAAAAGAAGGGAAGCCTTTGCTCAGCTCAGAGCAGGCAAGAGCTTGGGCTGAGAGGCTCATTAAGCTTCTAATAAGCAGTTAACTGGAGGGGTGAGTCCTGGCTGGGCTGGACACCCCCCCCCCACCCCCTGGGGCAGGGAGTCTGGCTGAGAAAGGCTGAGTGGGTAGGCGGAGATGAGACTGGGGCCTCTTTCCTCCTCCCCTAAACACAAGAGTAAACAAACAGAACTCAGAAGGGGCAGTGCAAAGGCTGGGGCCCAGGCTGCCCCAGACTCAGGCTCCATCAGCCTTTTGCCAGGCTGTGGACAGGCCTGGGGAGGCAGGAGTATAGGACAGTACAGCTGGTGCTGTCGCCTTCCTGCAGAGTCCTTGACTTTCAGGAGAGAGTGTTGCACAACCCCAGGAAGAGCAGTTGCTCCACCTAACTCCAGATCTTCTGGGCTTCCTCTTCTGCCTGGAGGCAAGCCCAACATGAGACCATCCTACCCGCCGACACACACACACATACCCCCTTCTGCTTTGGATATTGGGCTCAGGGCTTGGGCAAGTACAGAGCTGCAGTGGGCATGGCCAGAGCACAGTGGGGGTCAATCCTGGAGTTCCAAAGTGGAACTGAAGCCACTCGCACACAGAGCCCCAATAGCCTCCTGTAGTGGAGGGCGGGGTGTGTGCCTTACACCTCCAGGGGTGCCATTTACACAGAGTGCAGTATGGCCTAGTGTGAGCCTGGGTCCCCACTGCGTCTGCACCTCAGCCTCTAACAGCATGCTCTGTCTGTGTTCTCCCTGCCCCTCAGGCTCTTGAGCAACAACAAGATCACTGTACTCCGCAATGGCTCTTTCCTGGGACTGTCCCTGCTGGAGAAGTTGTAAGTACTGGGCTGGGTGGGGCAGAAGGGGGCACGGTAGCAATGGGCGTGAGGATCGATCGGTCTGAGAGGGGTGGATGAAGAGCACTAGTTGTTGAGTGAATGCAGAACCTGAAGGGCAACGTCAGAAGCTAGGACTTCCCCACCAGGCAGAGGACTGAGTGGGCTGGTCTGGGAGAGAGGGCAGCCTTTTTGCCAGCCCGGGACTGCTGAGTGAAAAGCAGTGTCCTCACTAGTCCAGGCAGGGATGGGGCTAAGGGAAGCTCATTAACGCTCTTTAATGAGCAATTAGCTGAGAGGGCTGAGCCCTTTAGCTGGCCTCCTCCTCCCAGCTGGGGGCCCAGCATGAAAGGGCTGAGGAGGCTTAATGTGACAGAGGTCTCTTTCCTCCTTCCAGAAAAACAAATCAACAAACAAAGGCCTGAGGGGCAAGTCCTGAGCTGAGGCAGGGAAGCTGATGGTTTCCAAGCTTCCTCCCCCACCCTTGCCCTGGGTTAAAGTACCAGCCAGGCCCTGCCAGCCCACTAGAACCTCCTCCCAGGCTCAGGGGGCCAGTTTGGGAAAAAAAAAAAAAATCAGTGAGGAGGAGCTAAAGGCAGTGATGGATTGTCAGGGAAATGGGAGTGCAGAAGGCTCGACTTAGCCACGGGGAGGATGTTCACAGGGCTCCAAAGAGGTGGGATAAGCCTAAGCGGCACACTTGACTCAGCTACTTGGGCCAATGAGGGGCTTACATCAGCTCCTCAAAATTCCCTGTTCTACTGGCGTGCTCCCAGACCACAGCCTGTGTCATGGATTTGGGTCCTTGTCCCCTCTCCATCCCTTCTCTCCTGGAAACTGATTCTTGCTTTCTCCCCCCCATCCCCCATCCCCAATCCCCTCTACCATCTTTGTTCCCCTCCAGTGAGCCTTCCCCAATTCCTCCAACAGACCCTTAGCCCACTCTACTGCCATTTTGACCAAAAGCTTTGAATCAGTTGGAGATACAAGAGAAGCAGATGTGACCTTTGCTCTTAAAGAGCCAAAGAGACTGAAGTCTAATAGAGATTGCAAGTGACGCCATATATATTAGCATTATATATATATATATATATATATATATATATATATATATGCATTAAGACCCCTGGGGAGTTCTTTCTTTTATACTGGGGTTTGAACACAAGGTCTACACCTTGAGCTACTCCTTCAGCCCTTTTTTTGTGTGTGCTGGGTTTTTTTTGAAATAGGGTCTTGCGAACTATTTGTCCAGGCTGGCTTCCAACTGCAATCCTCCTGATCTCTGCCTCCCGAGTAGCTAGGATCACAGGAATGAGCCACCAGCTCCCAGCACGATACTTTCGCTTGTTTCTTTGTGTTTTTGGCAGTACCAGTGATTGAACTCAGGGCCTCGTGCTTGCTAGGCAGGTGCTCTACGACCTAAGCCACTCCATGAGCCCTGTTGGAGATTTCTTTCTGTAACATTCAAAGGAGGCATCCTTGAAGGCTGGAGGGGTCAAGGGCAGTGAAGATGCAGTGTCCACATGACATAGTGTTCAGATCTCTAACCAGGACAGCGCTCTTGTGAGGCAGCCTCCCTCTCACCCTTCCATTTCACGGTAGAAGAAAAGCTTTTCCTCAAGCCCTCTAAGGCTAGGAGGGAAGCTTGATGGTCTAACTGGGCTGGTGGGAGAAGAAAGCCGCCAAATCCACATGGCGGGCAGAAAGTTCTGATATGGGGTAGGAGATCCTGGGAGTCCTGGGAAGGAAGAGTGGTGCATGCGCACAGCTCTATGCCCAGGTCCCTCTAACCAGCTGCTCTGTAGCTCACAACAGAGTGGTCCTCCCCTCAAGTTGCTCTCCAAGTGTCCTTAGGGGCCAATAAACAAGCCATTGAGCATTCAAGAGCTAGATCCTCCCTTGGGCAGGCTTGTGGTCTTAGAGGGCGAGTGACAGGAAACCAAATGCTCTTTCAGGGGTCTTTTGGAGGAAGGTGAACCATAGCTGCCTCTCTGTCCCTTGACCTTCCCCATGGGGCCAGTCCTGCCCATAGCTAGTCTCTTTCTCAGATCAGTAGGTGAGTGCTACTCTGAGTCTCAGGTGGCCTCCCTAGCATCTTCCACCTCTTCATCCTCTCCCTCAGTCTGCCCCCTTCTCCTTGTCTTCTGATGAGATGAAAAGATGACTCTCCTTCCTACCACTGCCAACCTACCGAATCAACCCCTCTCCAGCACTAGAGGCTGCACAGTAGGGGCATTCAAACGATGGGAAAGAGGACAAATCAAGAGACTCACCAGGGATGAGCATCGACTCAACGCTGAGCTGTAGGGTTATGGGAGGAGTGCAGCCATGAGAAAGGGCACTAGAGCAAGAATTCCCAACCCTGAGTTTGAGCTCCTGCTGGTGTGGATCACTCCATTCATTCATTTGACAGATATTTATCCTGCCTGTCTATGTACTGGGAGTGAACACAGCTGACCAAAGCGCCTGTCCCCATGTCAGTCACCCTCTACTGATGGGGCCAGAGAATAGCAAATACACATGTCATGTGTTGGGAGACATGTATGCAAAGAAAAACAGGGTAAGGGGAACAGAAAGCAAGAGGCTGGGTGCTGTTTTATGCAGTGAGGACAAGGAAGGACTTGCCGGTAAGGTAATGAAGACCTGAAGGGATTGAGAAAGAGAAAGAAGCCAGGTATCTTTCTGGAGGCAAGGAGAGAACAGCCATTGTGAAAGCAATAGCTTGGCTCCAGGGAATGCCTGGTGGGTTTGAGAAACAGAAGAAGGCCAAGCAGGTGCAGTGGTACATAGCTGTAGGCCAAGCTTTTAGGGAGGCTGAGGCAGGAGGATTGCTTGAGCCTAGGAGATCAAGGCCACCTTGGGCAACATAGCAAGAAAAAGGAGGAGAAGGAAGAGGAGGAGAAGAGTGTGAGTGAGCAAAGAGAGCAAGGGAAAGGGAAATTGTAGGTGTCAAAGCTGGAGTGATCAAGAGTGAGTGCTGGGTGTGGCCCTCCAAGCACAGAGGGATAGGGAGGATATGTGCAGAAGTGGAAGAGTTCAGCATCTTCAACCTGCTGATCACCACTTTGCATGTTGATACATGCAAAGACATGTAAGGAAGCTGCCCACATGGTTGTTCAGACTGACAAGTCCAAAGTCTGAAAGTCAGGCATGCTGCTATCTTAAAGCAGACTTCTTTTTTTGAGAAATCTTAGTTTTTCTTCTAAGGCCTTCAACTAGTTGATGAGGCCCACCCACATTGTCAAAGATAATTCTTTTACTTAAGGTCAACAGATTGAGTTTCCACATCTACAAAATACTTTCACAGCAACACCTAGATACGTGGGGAATTTTTTTTCTTTCTTTCTTTTTTTTTGCTGGTACTGGGGTTTGAACTCAGGGCTTTGAGCTTGCAAAGCAGGCACTCTACCATTTGAACTGCACCTCCAGTCTATTTTGCTCTGGTTATTTTGGAGATAGGGTATCTCAAATTATTTGCAGTTAGCTGGCCTTGAACCGCAATCTTCCTGATCTCTGCCTCCTGGGTAGCTAGGATTATAGGTGTGAGCCACCGATTTTTGTGTATGTGTGTACTTGTTTTTGTTTTTGTTTTTTTGAGGCAGCTTCTCACTATGTAGTCCTGGCTGGCCTCAAACTCAAGATCCTCTTGCTTCAGCCTCCAAAGTAGCTGGGACTACAGGTGTAGGCCACTGCACCTAGCTGTATTAGTGTTTGACTAAATCACTTGAATACTATAGCCTGGTCAAGTTGACACAAACTATCATAACCCAGGGTGAGGAGAGGACCCTAAATAAAACAGATCCTGTACCCCACTCCTAAAAGTGGTAAGCCATCTTGTTGAGTGGGGCTGGGAAATGTTTACAAGATAGGAAGGCGATTCTCATGCTTATCCAGGGTTGGGAGCCAGGGGACCAAATGACCCCTACACTGTGGTCCTATTCATCACAGATAAGATGCTGGAGTCTGGCGTGTAGTTGGTGCTCAGGAAACACTGATCTCTCTGTCCTGTAGGGCTCAGATATCCAGGCCTGGGCAGCCGAGGCCATGATAGCTTAACATCCCACGATCTACAGGCAGAAAGACTGTGGGAGGGTTGGGACTGAGCCTAGTAACTGCAGTGGCAGTCCAGACTGCTCCACAGTGCACCTGCATGGCCTCCTGGTGCCGACAGCCCCTCAGGTCTTTGTGAATAGGTCAGCTTGCTAACCAGGAATGGACAGTTGACCTTTGTGCTGTCTATTTTGCAATGCAGAAGGAGGCTAGGAAGGGTGCAAGCAGGTGGACAGTGACGTATATGTGAGTGTGATGGGAAGTACAGGGAAAGGGAGACAGAGCAGATGCAGAGTGGGATGTGGCTGAAAGGAAATCAGGAGAGGTGGAGTCAGGGGCCTATCAGCTAGGTAGGATGGATCAGAAAACCTGCAATAAGGCGAGTAGAAGTCGTTCACAGCCAGCCAGCCTAGGAGGGCACAGAAGGGCCAAAGAAGCACAGGGCCTGCCCTGAGCCTGCCTTTTGGTGTCCCACCACCCTCTGCCTGGCTGAGCCTGGCTGTTGCCCAGAGGAAAAACTTCTGAGACAGGGTGGGTGGATAAAAGAGCAGGACTCCACATTGGTGTAAAAAGAAGCCTGTGGGCTGGACACCAATGGCTCTTGCTTGTAATCCCAGATACTCTTTAGGCAGAGATTGGGGGAGCTCAGTTTAAGGGCACCCCGAGAAAAAATTAGCAAGACCACATCCCATTCCAACCAATAAGCTGGACATGGTGCACACCTGTCATCCCAACTACGCAGGAGGGATAAATAGGAAGGTCGTTATTTAAGCCAGCCCAGGCAAAAACATGACACTCTATTGGAAAAATAACAAAAGCAAGCCAGGTGCCAGTGGCTCATGCTTGTAATCCTAGCTACTTGGAGTGTGAGATCAGGAGGACTACAGTTCAAGGCCAGCTCAGGTGAATTGTTCATGAGACCCCCCCCATCTCCAAAGTAACCAGTGCAA